AAAATGTACAACTTTGGAGGCCCAACTATTGATCCAAACAGTCCAAAGATACTTAAATATGCCCCTTCTTCAGCTGCTGACATGGAGTGGAATCTTGTTCCTGACAACAATGAGGGAGACAGATATCCTCAATATATTCCTGATGGAGGTGTGAATTGTTACAACCCTTTGGATAAAAAGTATGCAATATAGCGGTGCTTGGCTGGCTCAGTCAGTTAAGCGTCTGCCTTTGGCTGAGGTCATAATCCCGGGTCCTGGGATCGAGCCCTGCATCGGGCTCCCTGCTCAGCGGGGAACCTGCTTCTCCTTCTCGTGCTCTCCCTCTCTCTCTGACAAATAAATAAATACAATCTTTAAAAATAAATAACTAAATACCTTACAATTAACAAAAAAGTATGCAATATATATTGAAGTAAAAAATATCTTTGATCCAGTGGTCCCACTACTAGAAATCTCCCTGTGGAAATAAAAGCATTCTATGATAAAAAAAAATGCATATAAGGATGTTTATTGTAGTGCTATTGGTTGTGATAAAAGCCTAGATCAATTTACATGTTCATCAATAAGGGAACAAATGGTTCTATAGTAGGGTCATCTATTCTATGGATTTAGCTGTTAAAAGACTGAGTTAGGGGGCACCTGGGTGGCTCAGTCTTTAAGCGCCTGCCTTCAGTTCCGGTCATGATCCCAGGACCCTGGGATTGAGCCCCACGTCGGGGTCCCCGCTCAATGGGAAGCCTGCTTCTCCCTCTCCCACTCCCCCTGCTTGTGTTCTCTCTCTCGCTGTGTCGCTCTCGGTCAAATAAATAAAAAAAATCTTAAAAAAAAAAGACTGAGATCTTTGCCAATTGGGGGCCAAAGACCGGGCCAGATATTGTTAATACACTGTAAAGTGAATCAAGCAATGGTCTGGTAATATGTTAGAATTCATGTTAAAACAAACAAACAAACAACAATAGCAAAAAGCCAATTAGCTCTGTTTTTATAAGTATGGATAAGGTTAGAAGGTGATACACAACTCAGGCAGTTAAACTGGTTACCCGAGGTGGAGTAGAAATTGGGAGGTGTAGGAAGAAACTTTTTGTCCATATGCTTTTTTTGGATTATGTCATTTGTTATAATGGCACAGATTGCTTTTACAGTATAAAAGATTAATTGAGAAAACACATATTCTTCAAATGATTCTTCATAAACAAAGATGATTAATTTTACAGTTTTAACTGCTTTAAATGGTTATAAAAAGAAAAATCCCCAGGATAAGTCTGTTTTTTCTAGCTCTTCTTCCAGCCTTGATTTTTTCTGGTGAAGCTCCCATCTGCCTTATGTTGGAATCTATATTTCTCACTGAAGTCTTACAAATGTGCTACAGTAAGCACCACCAACAAATTCCCATTTACATGATGTTGCATCCCCGTGATGCTGCCTGGTCTCGTACAACTTTTAGTTAGTTATCAGTCTCTGTCATGTCTCTCTGTTTTACACAGATCCCTTTGTGTGCAGTGACTCTGCTTCATTTCTGTTTGACTCCCAGCATCCTTGTTACTCGGTCAGGAGAATGGTTTGCAGTCCTTGCCTTCTAGAACAGCTCAGCAGATTTCCACCCTATCCACTTCCTTCCTGATCCACTCTTGGCTTCCCTGATGCCTCACTCTGCAGTACTCTAACATCATAAGCTGAAAGAACATAATGAAGGGAATTAGGTGCTTATAACATTGTGGGGAGGGGTGGAGGAGCAGGCTCTAGACTAGGCTCCCCAGGAATGACTCCAGGGCAGGACTGACCTGCCCCACCTAGCCAGCTGCTGCCTCTGAGGCTGCACCTCTTGCTTCTGACCCAGGGATCAGGAAGCTGGACCCAAGAAGGGACCACTGCTTCTGCTGACCCCCAACAACTGACTGTCTCTTGATATCCAGGAAGCTAGTAAATGGATGCTGGAATGCTGGTGCAGAAAACTTGAAGTCTCAGGGGTTTTGCCTCAACAGAAAAACAGCCAGAAGGGGCAGAAAGCTGGCCTTGGTCTCATGTCTAACTTTTAAGTCTTGTCTAAGTGTATCTCACTACTTAAACTTATTTCAAGAACAGAATCCTAGCTGTAAAGGAGATACTTCGTTTGTCTCTCCTGCTTGAATGTAGCCCTATGGGAGCAGAGACCATGTCTATTGGTTCACCACTATACCACCAGCAGCTACCACAGTACCAGGCACACAGTAATGTATAAGGTAACAATACTGGATCCAGGCACCACCCTAAGCTCTTTGTGTGCATTAACTCATTTAATTCTCACAACAAACCTCAGATGTAGGTATCATTATTCTCCCCAGTTTACAGATGTAGAACAGGCACAGAGAGGTGAAATAAGTTTGCTAAGACCGTACAGTAGTAAAGAGGACTGAACCCAGCAGTTCAGACCCAAGGCCTGTACTTATTCAATATGTTTTACTGCCTCAATGTTTATTGCAAGTATGCCCATTTAAATGTTTACTGAGTTGTATTACACAGATAATTGATCCTATGCAAATTCATAATTACAGAGTACTTTTATAAAGTAAAATCTAACATGTTTAACTATGGAGATGGTTATACTTTGTTACCATTTGTACTGGTAACTTTTTTTTTTAACCTTGCCAAACTTATGAGATAATCTGTCCAAAGGTGAATACCATTAGTGATTTAAGTGGGCTGAAGTAATATTCAAGTACTTCATACATCTTAGACTCATAAAAACTTCTTAGTAGCTAGAGAAATATGCTTGAGTATATATATATATGTATGCATATATATGTATAGATGTACTCTATATATTTGCTAATACTTTAAGAGAACTTTATGTGCTGCATTAATCAACATAAGAAGAGCAAACAATGAACATTAGGCTCCATGTTTGTCCATTCCTAATTTAAATGTTAAACAATACATAAGTCAATTATAATTTAAATTGTCTTAATCACTTTCAGTTGTCATTTCATTGTGGCTTTGGGAAAAGCAAAAATGCACAGGATGGAAGATTGGGCAACTTTTCCCCAAAGTTTAGCTCTGTTACTGCCATGAGATGCTCTTATTCCCATATTTAACAACAAAAGTAAAACTTGCTGTTATTTGGTAGTTCTGAGAAGGGTGTGATGATGTTTATAAAGATCTTTGAACTGCTAGAAGAAAGGTAGTAATACCAAAGCATAAGCCTCTTAAATAGTGCACTATTTAATGAGGGATCGATGATTCAGGAGGACTCTGAGTCATTATTAAGGCGATGCTCTAAAATAGTAATAGAGGAATTATTCCAAAGATGTTTCATGTATTCTTAGACTACCAGAGATTTAAATTCTCATATAGTTCTAAGACTATATGATATTTGAAGCAATACTGAGAAGACAAAAACAGTCGATTTCAAAGGTAATGACTTAAAATGGGCAGAGGTTTCTTCATTATATAGATTGGAAAACTGGGATACAGCCAGTTCATACTTCCCATTGAATTCATGGTGAATGGGTAGCCATTGTCCCATATGGGAGTGACAGGGAACTTCCTCAGCATGCTGTACTTGCTAATTGCTGTTTGCACACTGGAGATTCCCAAATGCTTTCTGGTAAGAGAAATGTCCATCTAGCTGTGGAGGAGCCAGTTCAGCCAAGGCTAATTTGCCCATGGATAACGGTTCTTAGGCAAGCAAAAAAATTGCAGTTTGTGACAGCTTTAGGGCTCTCAGTTCACAGCTAAAGATGTGTGAGACACCATCCCGTGGAGTGTTTGTCAACCTCAACTTTTTTTTTTTTAACCTTAAGCCATCTCTTGACAAACACAGTTTTTATATTCTCCTTTAAGGATGACTGAAATTTCAAAATAAATTTCGTGAATAAAAATTAATCAAAGGAAAGGTAAATTTAGAATATACTTTTCCAACTATTTAAGCACTCCCATCCTGCTAGGTTTTTCACGGCTTAAGATACATGCTTCTTGTGCGGTACAATCTTCTGCGGATGCTAGGTTAGCTATTCTGGAGAGCTATCCCCAGATGGGCCCCGATACGTGCATGGATTGCGCTTGAGAACTTGGACTTTGTGCCTACGCTTAGATCACTGTTCATTTGCTCATTTATTTTCAGGACAAACTGCACTGCTCCTTCATGGCAGCAGCCTCAGTATGTCCTTTCTTTTGTGGTGCTCCCTAGGGACTTAAATTCACGTAGTACCGTACAGGCTTACTTACAGCACCTTCATTTGTTTCATTTGATATTCCTGTCCCCGATTACCCTGGCAATCGGTTAAAGATTTGTCAGCACCTTTGTTCACAGGATTTTCCTCATTTGGTTCGGTTTACTACACGCTACCCATAAATGATGCAGATGGAATTCATTTCCAACACCGGAACGTGACAACTGTTTCGGTTTGGGTCTATACTTAATAAAACCGAAGAACAGACGCCCGCAACTGAACGCTGTAGATTTTGACTTCTATTTCTAGCTTGGTAAGTGTGCCTTGTCAGATTTCCCCAACGGCGGGTTTGCTTCCTAAAGGAGGGGTGTTTCCTCATCTGCTTTTGCATCACTGGATTGAATTCAGGAAGCAGTAGACGTTGGATTGGAACACGACAGAGAATGTTGCCCTACCAATAGAGGGATGGGTAGATTTAGAGAACAAATTGACAAATCCCGTCCTGTTTTCCACAGGGTATATTTTATATTTCTAGGCGGGCGACCTCAGATCAGTTTTTCAAAAGTTTTTTTTTTTTTCTTTTCAGCGCAGACGAGACGCTCTCTGAGAGCCAAAAATGACTGTCAGCGCGCCCCACCCCATTCGCCTCCAACGGACCTCATTATCCTTCCCGCCCACAAACAGCCACTACTACAATTCCCAGCAAACATCGCGCAGCGCCGCAAAAGGACCAGGCCCCACTGGCAGGCTGGGAGTTGTAGTGAATGAGCCTGACTCCTCTTTCCTTCTATTAGGCATTCCCACTTGGAAGACGATGATGCGCTGCTACAGCAGGCTCTCCAGTTTCGCAGTCGGAGCCGAACGTGACCGAAGATTGCGCCCTTCTGCCTTGCGGTGCGCACCGCATCGGTGCCACGGAGTTTCGCTCCGCCCTCTGTCCACGCCCGTTCCCTTGACAGCTTGAGTTCCGAGCGGCCGCGAGGCCCGGAACGCGCAGGCGCAGCAGCCGGCGCAGCGCAGGGCAGGACTCGAGGGCGGGACGAGCGCTAGGGGCTCCCGGCCGCCGGGGCGCGCACGTAGGCACGCAGAGGCCGTCACGTGGGGTGCCGAGGATCGCAGTGCGCGTGGCCGCGGCGGCTGGTGTGGGGTTGAGTCAGTTGTGAGTCCCAGAGCTGCTGACCCAGCGAGCGGCCCAGTGGCCCGGCCACAAAGCGGCAGGCGTCGGGGGTTCGGGAGCCGTGAGCTGGCCCCATCATAGAGCTCGGCCGAGCCGGCGCCGCCGTCATCCCCCGTCCCCAGCCAGCAAACCGCCGCCGCGGGCGCGCCCCCGCTCTGCGCTGTCTCTCCGATGGCGTCCGCCTCCGGGGCCATGGCGAAGCACGAGCAGATCCTGGTCCTCGACCCGCCCACAGACCTCAAATTCAAAGGTAGGCAGGCAGAGGGCAGCTGCCCGGGTGGGGCGGGCGGACGGCGTGATTTAGGGTGGGTGGGGGGGTCGAGGGAAGGTCGGCGGCGGGCCGCGAGTGAGCGTCCCCTCCCCCACGCCCCGGCACTTTGCATTCTCCGGCGGCGCCCCGCTCCGGCCCTCGGCCTGCCTGCCCCGCGCCCGGCCCGCTCCCTCCCGCCCTCGCCCGCTCGCGGCTCGATGCGCGCGCCGGCCGGGGCGAGGCGGAGGGGCCCGGCCCTGGCGCCGCCGCCGCGGCCGCCATCTTGCGGTCCCGCGGGGGCGCCTCCCGGGTGCTGCCCGCGCTGCTGCCCGCGCCTGGCAGTCGTCCTTGGCCCCCGAGGGCCGTCGGGCGTTGTCTGGGAGGGTGTGGGTGGGCGGTGACCTTACAGAGTGCGCTCGGATCTGCGGCGGGAAGGGGGGCCTGGGGGTGGCGCAAGTGCGTCGGTCTCCGGAGTCGGCTGTCAGCGTCGGTGGGAGGCAAGGCGAGGCGGTTGTGCGGCGGCCCTGGACTCGGGTCCTAGAGAGAACCACCCCTCGGCCTTGAGCAGGGGCTGGGCGGAGCCGGCCCTCGCAGAGGGGGTTGCTGTCTACCTTTTTACCTTGTTTAGAATTTGGCTGTCAGGTCCGAGGAGCGCTAGGGAGGCGGAGAAGCCCATGAAGTCCTCTGGTTATGACTTACCCGGTTGTGTTGGCAGAGACCCAAGCGCGTGCGGGCAGGAAAGCTATGCGTCAACCCGGGAATTGATAGTAGTAGGTTAATAGTCGACGTCTTCCTGGTCCTCCAGTATGACATTTCAGCTCACCTTTCGCGTAGGGCGGACCTGGCCTTTGCTCTTGTTTCGTCTTTGGCTTAGCTCTTTTGCTGCGGAATCTTCAGCGTTGGGGACTTTTTGCCTTTACGTTTGCGGGTTATGAGAAGGCTGACGAGGTGTCACTCCGCTCTGGAGCGCCCTTGGTATACTTACACTTCGTAGCAATGCTTGTGATAAATTATTAGTCCGATTTGGTGATTCCTCAGGAATACTGAAGGGCTCTTTGGCTCATTTGGTTGTCATTATGTAGGGTACTTTAGGGAAGAGAGTGAAACTGGCTTTTTAGGAATACCGAAAACGTGTGGAGATCCAAAATGGAAAGCAGATTCCTTCCTGTCTTCATTTAAAGTGTAAAGTGAATCGCCTTTTGGAAGGTTCATTATCTTGTATTTCAATTTCAGCAGTTATGATGAGAGCAGTTTTTGTGAAATGTGTAACTATTTCAAGTGCTTAAAACAAATTAAATCTTTTATTGTTGTACAAGATCGAGTCCAAAGAAAAAAACAATTGTTTTCCATAGGCAACGTTTTAAATAGTTTTAGGAATTTTAAAATATTGTTTTCTGGTATTGTGAGAGTAATATTGTATAGCTCCTTTGTTTTGCAAGCTTTTTAGTACATTTGCAAATTTCTTTGGAGTGAGCTGCTTGTTCAGTAAGGATTTGGTTTTAAGACAACTCAAATATTTTGAGGGGCACTAAGTGTATTTTATTGTAACAAATTTATGTGTGTGGCATTTCACATAGTTTTACCTGAAAGAAAAAATCACCTTTGGGGAATCATGAAATTGCCTTAGATAGCCATTATCTTTGGTCGGAGGAATTTAATGTAACCCCTATAATGGGGTGTGTTCTCTTGAGAAGTTAAAAGAACTTTTGCTTTTACTTTTTGACAGGTTGAGTTTACAGAGGAAATTTCCTCTACTGGATAACCGTATTGCCGTTAGGGACTTAGAAGCCTTTAAAACCAGTTTTAGGCCAGGATATGTGTGCAGAATTTGAAGCTTTCTCCCTAGAAAAGTTGTAACGTTGCCATAGTAAGAGACTAATAATAGTGGAGAAGCAAGCTAAAAAAACAACTCAACCCTACACAGTAACATTCCTATGTTTCACTTATTTTAGGTATTGAAGAGTTATTAGTCATGATTATAGAACAGGTTTTTCTTGTGTTATACATGAATGTAATTCACAAGGACCATTTTTAAAAGTTTGGATATCAATAACCACTTTTTTTTAAATTAATTATTTATTTATTTATTTTAAAGATTTTATTTATTTATTTGAGACAGAATGAGAGAGAGAGCACATGAGAGGGGGGAGGGTCAGAGGGAGAAGCAGGCTCCCCGCCAAGCAGGGAGCCCGATGCGGGACTCGATCCCGGAACTCCAGGATCATGACCTGAGCCGAAGGCAGTCGCTTAACCAACTGAGCCACCCAGGCGCCCTCAAAAACCACGTTTTAAAATTGACTTCAAAAAAAAGTATTTCATTGAAAAATTTAGAGAGACGTATTCAGTTTACTTATTCAGTGAACACTTATTGAAAGCTTTGTGCCATCCCTATATTTAATTAAGATTATTCAGCTGAGTAATTCAGCAGTAATCAGTTTATATTTGGGGATTCAGTGCTAAACAAGGTGGAGGAAAAGATTTACAGTTTGTAGTTTCATGGGGAAAGCACCCAGTAAAACAGTGAAACATGTTAGGTTTTATCTTTGCCCTCAAGGAACTCAAAGACTAGTGAGGGAGACCTAAAAGGCATGTAGGTGCTATAATAGAGGCAGAACGGCTATGAAGAAAGAACCCACCCGCCCAAGTTTCTTGGAAGAGGCTAATTTTCATTTGGGGGGTGAGGGAAAAGGATTGGGCAAGGGAATGGTGGTTTACTCAACCACTGATGTAAAAGAACATGTGGCTTATAACTTAATGGTTTGCTGTGTGCTTCTGTTCTAGGGTGGGATAATGGGGAGGATTGGGAAACAGGAGGGGTAGGATGAATTAGGAGAGGTGACCTTTGGTGTCATTTGATTCCTTCCTTAATGTTATTTTTCTAGTCAAAGGTAAATAATTTCCTTTGATGGAAACCTCTCTGTATTCCAACGCACAGTTCACCACTAAGTGAGGAGACTCATTTCAAATCCACAGTCTCCTTATGCTTAGTTTGATGATGATGATAATGATATAAAGTCATTTCATTCTGACTTGCCCTAAATCACCTGTAATTTTTAGTTTAAATCTGTTAAAGGATAGTTTTCAAAATTCTCTTATCTTTCAGTAGGCTTATTTAAATTCTTTTGAACTCAACATTTGACTAAGATGGTTTCTCCGAGAGTGACTCATTTAATCATTCTGAGAATAGGTAGTGAATTTTTCTGTCATATGCATAACAATCATCTTGATAGAATTATCAGCACTTTGCATAATTATGGAGAAACATATCAGTTTAATACATTTTTATAAATACCTGTTTTACTAAAAATTTTTGTTTTATATAATTGTCAACATACGAAGATTCTTTTATAATGGTGTAATGAATTCTGAGGTAGTTCTTCTGTTGCTTTAGTAAAGAAAAAGAGGTAGATCTTTTCAAATTCTGTTTAAGCCATGGCAGTAATTTGACCTAGAATTCAGATTTGGAATTTGATATTATATCTGAGAGATGATTTTTTTGTCATTATATTTTATTATTATTAATTTTTTCCAATTGTATTATACAATTTATTTGTATTATACAATTCGTTTTTCCTTCCTATTAGTTGGAAGAAATTTAGAAAATGCTTAAATTGTGAACGTATTCTTCCTCCTAATAATCAGAGAAAGGAGAGTAGACTAAAACTATTGTGTTGAAGGTGGCCCATAACAGTATCAAGCCAATAAAGAAAATTAAGCTCTCTGAGGAACCAAGAAACTGTGATGTGTCCGCCAGAGCATCTTTGAATAGCAGCATGTTACTAAGAAGTACAAGTGAGGATGTGGAGTTCTTCTACTCTTGGCACATTTTTAGGTCTTTCAGATCAGCTCCTGTTTCACAGTGGCTTCATCAGATTCCTGGGGCGCCCCCCCCCCCCCCCGCCTTTCCTGGGCCACAGACATCTTATTCATTCCTTAAAAGCTTTGGAGTAGCTCTTGATTGTCCCCTGGATAAAAGTCCGATTTTATTTATTTATATATTTTTTAGTATGGCATTTAAGCCCTTCCATGATGTGCTGTCTCCTCTTGTAACACCTCTTTATCTGCACACATCCATACTTTCCCCCTGCGAAAGAAAAACCTTTCTCATATCCAAGCTTGTTCTGTTTTGTTGGTTAAGGTAAAATCCCTGACTCATACTTAGACCATGTTGCCTCAGGTATTTTCCCTCTCATGTTTTCAACCAGTGGCTTCTTCCTTTAAACATATAAATACACATAAATCTTTCATTTTAAAAACAAATAAGCAAACAGAATACTCTTTGACTCCCAACTCCTTCTGGTATATGTCCCTCTCTGTCCCTCATTTCCTTTGCAGTTAGACTTCTTAGAAAAATTGTCCCAGGGCGCCTGGGTGGCTCAGTTGGTTAAGCGACTGCCTTTGGCTCAGGTCATGATCCTGGAGTCCCGGGATCGAGTCCCACATCGGGCTCCCTGCTTGGCGGGGGGTCTGCTTCTCCCTCTGACCCTCCCCCCTCTCATGTACTCTCTCTCTTATTCTCTCTGTCGCAAATAAATAAATAAAATCTTAAAAAAAAAAATTGTCCCTGTTCACTGTCCAGTTTCTCACTGTCCACTGTAGTACTACTTTTGTTCTCACTGCTTATTGATTGCTGATTGAATTGGTCATTTCCATTTCTTATCTCTTTGGCACTTGACATTATTAACAATTTCTCTTTTTAAAAATTCAGTTCTTTTGATTTCTGTGTTATTGTCTTCTAATTCTCTTCTTTGCTCTCTTTATTGTCTCATTTGTGGGCTTTTTGTTAATTGCTAATGTTTCTGAGATTCTGATTTGGTTTTATCTCAACTTTCCTTGTTCAGTCTCATTGTTTTGATGATTTTCTCTTCTTTGCTCTCTCTTTGCACATGTTGGTTCACACCCAGATTTGTATTTTAATTGAGACTTTACAGTAGTCAGTTCTAGAATTGCTTATTGATTGTCTGGATTTGAATTTTAATTTAGGCTTTTTGGGGACGAGGGCAGAAGGAGAGAGAGAATCTTAAGCAGGCTAGGAGCCCTACACAATGCTTGATTTCACAACCCTGAGATGATGACCTGAGCCAAAATCAGGAGTCCGACGCTTAACTGTTTGAGCCACCCAGGCACTCCTTAACTCAGAGTTAGGAATGGTGGTGCTGTCAGACTCAGTATATCCCACATGGGTTTTTTACAACCCAAGCCTACTTGTCTTCCCATATTTTTAATTTTCTGGTGGCATCGTGGTTACTTATACCAGAAATATTCTGTATATCTACTAATTAAAATCTGTTTTTCTACATCCCATAGATAACTCTTGAATCTCTTTTAAAACAACTGTACTTTTAAATTTATTCATTTTAATTCATTTAATTATACAATAAAGATTTGAGTTTCTGCTATATGTAACAAGTGTTGAATAAATGTTAGAACTACAGTTCTGAATAAAACAGAATCTTTTATTCATGAGGCAATTCTAATGGGAGAGATAGACACCAATCAGGTAATCAGAAGAAGGAACTGTAGCTATGAAAAGGTGTGTAGTGCTATGAAAATGTAAAATAGGAGACTTTGATCTGGACAGGGAAGACACAATTGGACTAAGATTTTCTAAGAATGAGAAGTTTTCCTGGGTGAAGAAAGGAAAATGCAGTAGGAGCTGCATGTATTTGTAAAGATCCTGTGGCAGAAGGAAACATGAAACATTTAAATGTTGCTAAACATGTTAAAGTAACATCTCCTGAGTGTGGTGTTGGTTTGTAGGTTGAGTAAGGAGTTTTGTTTTTATTCTAACCCATTGAGGGATTTAAAGTGGGGGGAATGGTAGAGGAAGAGGGAATGGAGTGATAATCACATATGTATTTAAAAAAAAAAACATAATTCTGGTAACAACATGAGGTAATATAGGGGGGAGATAGAGATGAATTAGGCAGTTGTTTTGGTCCAGGCAAGAAGTGACAACTTGGTCTGAGGTATTGGGAGATGTATGTAGAGGGTCAAGCCAGTGAGACTTGGTGGTCTATTAGATATGCTTATGCAGAGTAGAGGTATCTTGGATGTCTCTAACATTTCTGGCTTACATACTGGAGGAATGGTGGTGCTATGCGCTGAGCTAAAAAAAAGAAACACTGGGTATTTGAATGAGGACCACATGTGTTTTACTTGGGGTGTGTGGGAGTGGTAGGAGGAGGATCCTGATCTCACTAGGTATGTTACATGTGTTTAGGTCCTTTCAAGATAATGAATGAAAAGGTAACTAGTAGGTTTTGGTTTTATGGATGTGTTACTGAGGGAGGGGTCTGGACTTTGGATAATTACTTTATTTCGGGTGATTATCTCTTGTCTTTTTTCTACTAGTCTATAGACAGGCCTGCGTTTCACTAGTGCCCCCCTCTCTCAAGCCTGTCTTCCAAACTGCTGCTAGAACTACCCTTTGTAAAATGCAAACCTGATATTATTTAAAGAACCTGGCACGTTTTCCCATTATGTAGATGAGAAAGTCCAAAATCCAATGCCTACCTCTTCATTTCTTCTCTTCATAGCTCTGGTTACATGAAACCATTTTCCCAAACACTTTAAGCTGTTGCAAGACTTTGCACAGGCTCTGTCCAGAATAATGTTCTCACTCATATCTGTCAAGCAGTCTCCAGTTCAAGAATCCCTTCATTTGTGAATCTTTGACTTTTGCAGTCCACGTTGGTCACCACCTTCCTTCTTAAGGCCATTATTGAAGCTTGTGCTTATCTGTAATACCATATCAGCACTTAACCACATTACATAGTATTTATGCTTATATATTTTTTCTCTCCCAAACTGTAGGGTTAGCTACTTGAGGATATACTTGTTTATTTTATTTTTACGTCCATGGTAACAAGATCTGGCATGGATGATTGCCCAATAAACGTTGATTGCGTTGATAGGACTCCGATGATTTCTCCTATAATTCCGTGGTTTTCATCTTGGATCTCTTTTCAGTGGGGTTTTTCATCTTTCTTTGCAGGTAGTTGTGTTTTCAAATTTTTTTTTTAGTTCCAAAAAAGGGATAGTAGGGTATTTTGTTAAAAGCTGCCTAACCATAGATAAGTTTTTTTCATCTTTGTGCTTCACCTTTTTTCCTTTGTGAAGTGTGAAGCAGGACTAGGTGATTTCCTGGATGTTGTTCTGGCCCTAAAGGTTTTGAATATGTGTGACAGCTGAGAACAAAAAGAAAACAGGATATTTCTGTAAGTGGGCAAATATATATAAAGAATTGGGAAAACTGGGTTTGTTCTTGGAGTTTGGTATTTTGTGATTGTTAGTATTGGTAATTTTTTTTGTTGGTTTCTTATATTAGTTACCTTTTAGTTTCCTTTATGTAAGACTTTCCTTCACCATGCAGAGATGTTCTGTGAGGAGAGTCTGTTAGCAAGCACCCTTTTATTTTCTCAGAGGCACTTCCTGCCCTCTATTTTTCTTGTGCTTTTGGATCTTAATCTTAGCGGACTGCCTGTCAGAGGAGAAGGTGGTTAATGTTAATATAGGATGAATCTTACTTTTTTCTTCAACCTTAAAAAGTTGTTTTCAAAGAAGATTAAATGTAAGAGGAGCGCTATTATTTGCAAAAGCTTGTTTTTTTTTTTTTAACTGAAATGTGACTCAAATTACTAGATAAAAGGTTTAAAACTTCTTATGAAAGATTTCAAATATTCATAAAAGTATTGTAATGAACCTTTATACTTAAATCTAATAATTCATATACTTAAATTTAATAATTATAGCATTTTATCATGTTTGTTTATATTTTCTATGTTTGCTGCTGTTTTAAAATAGATTCTGGATATCAAACATTTCAAACCTAAATCCTTGAGCTTGCTTTTCTAATAAACAAAGGGACATTTTCTTTACATAATTATAATGTCATTATCTTAAAACCAAAAATAAGTATTTAATATCATCTAATACTTAATCTATTGAAATTTTCCTAATTATACTTCTGTTCAGTCTTCTGTGTATTGCATTTGGTTGTCATGTATCCAGGTCTTAATTTTAAACACTGCCTCTCCCACCTCTTTTTTTTTCTTTTTACCATACTATTTACTTGTTAGGAAGATCAGATTGTTGTTCTAATATTCTAGATACTCTAGATATTCTGAAATGTGTTTCCTGTAAATTTGGATTTAGATTTGAAGGCTTGATTAGATTTAGGTTTCAGTATTTATTGGTAAAAATACTTCATGGATGGAATTCTGTCACATCAGGTATAGACTGTCTGGTTATCCCAGTTTTAGTGATGCTGATTTGTGGTAACAGCCTTCATCGAAAAGTTGCATAGATATGAGCCTGTTTCTGGTAATATGTGCAAGAAAAAAGGTTGGAAAGAAAATGTTAACAGTTAGCTCTGCTTTAGGGTTCGGGTGTCTTTTGTTTTTATATTTTTACTTTTCTGTGTTTTCCAGGACTCCACATTGAACATGCGTTGCTTTTTATAAGAGAGGAAAACTTATTTTGTTATTAGTCTTGATACCTTTGGAAGATTAGATCCCAAAGTCTTCATTTGTTCTTCCTGTATTACTTCCTTTTATTTTTAATTAGTAATTTAAGTCTTTTGCAGTCTGAGGTCTTATTTTTTTAAATAATTGGTCAAGTTATAGGACGGTAAATAGAAAACAGGTCTAATGTTTGCAACCTTCCAGTAACAGTTCACAAATCGAGTTATATAAAGACAAACAGAAGACCATGTGCATGTGAAAGTAAATCTAATTTATAGTCTCCCACAATAATTTACAAATCGTAACTGTATAAATGTGTTGTTTCTTTGAGCTCTTACTATGGGCATCAGTTGATGTTCTCTTGTGAGAAGTGTGAGAAGTGAGACTAACATTTTATTTCTCTGAGAATGGCTCCTGCAGATAAATTTTTAGGATCCCTCTTCCCCCAGTGTTGATTGGTTCAGTGGTGAGCACCTAACCCAAGGCCAGCCAATATATATATATGCTGATGACTGACCAGCCAGAATTTGGATGCCACCCCTTTAAAAAGCACATTTATAGGTAGATGATAGGTTAGATCTTTAAAGTAGGCTGATTTTTGCCATGTGTAAGCAGAAGCAACTAGTTGAGAGAGAAGAGGGGGAGAAAAGCTGGCTAGAGATCTTGTAGTCCCAGGAATTACTTTCTCTTGAATGAAGCCTCTTTTTTTTTTTTTTAAGATTTATTTTATTTATTTATTTATTTTTAAGATTTCATTTATTTGACAGAGAATGAGAGAGAGAGAGAGAAGCGCGTGTGCACAAGTAGGCAGAGCGGCAGGCAGAGGGAGAGGGAGAAGCAGGCTCCCCGCTGAGCAGGGAGCCCAATGCAAGGGATCGATTCCAGGCCCCTGGGATCATGACCTGAGCTGAAGGCAGCCGCTTCACTGACTGAGCCACCCAGGCGCCCCTTATTTATTTTAGAGAGCAAGCGAGAGAGCATGTGTGTGAGTTGGGGGAGGGTCAGAGGGAGAGAATCTCAAGCAGACTCCCTGCTGAGCGGGGCATCAACGCTGCCAGGCTTGATCCCTCCATCCTTGAGATATGATCTAAGCCGAAACCAAGAGTCGGACAGCTCAACCTAACCACCCAGGTGCCCTGCAGCCTCTTGTTTTAAGGCCAGCTATACCTCATTTCCTGTGTCATTGAGACTCCTTATATCTTTATAATAAATTCTTAAGTATGGTTTTGCTCTTCATAATAAGTTCGTTGCTTAAACAAGATTGGACTTCATAATTTGTGAAAATATATTCAACTTTGATTGTCACACATTTCACCTTATGAAAGTAATCTAGATTAATGTCTTAAGTTTTTATGGAAAAAAATCCACATAGATATTTTTGATCACTTACTCGTCATTAATATACCATAGTTTGCTTAGCTGCTTTTTGCTGGCATTTGGAATGTTCTCTATAACTAGAGTAATCATGAACATTTTGTACTATTTTCAAAATCCAGATTTAAATGAATGAGTTTAGTTAATGTGTATTTTAGCTTTTTAAGGATTCAGTTACTATTTTAAAAAATAGAGATGTTAATTAAAAAAAATTGTTAACATGAGAGGACTTTAAAATACTTAGCTTGCAGTATAATTTGATAGGTTTCTTATGGGCCTACATTTTGACAGCTTTTATTTTGTAGCTGTGTACTTCCATATGTATCCATCCACACACATATATCCATTTATACGTATTTACTTTAGTACTTGGATAATCTGATGTGAATTGGAGTGACTGCCATACCTTTAAAGGTATAGGGTATCTTTGTTCCTGTTTAGTTTTTTTCTCTCTAAAACCAAATTTACTTTTATAACATTGGGGAAGATGAATCACTTGATCTTGTTTTCTGAGTACTGTTCCCACTGCCAAAAACTTCACTGACAATAAAATCCTCAGAAGATGTGTTTTTCTGAATTTCTTTAGTCTCCCCCCCCCCAGCATTTTGCAAATAAAAGGCTTTATGAACAAATTAAGCTAATAGGTATACATGTTTAAAAGTCTTTCTGATCATAAAATTCTCGACACTTAAGCATGGAATGCTTAATGTAGTGAATTGAAAAAAGATGGAAAAGTGTAAAGCAAATAAAATTACTCAATGTTACCATCTAGAAATAGCGACTGCTAACATTTGATGTATTTTTATGTTTTCTGTGTATAATTCTACACACTTATTTCCTGTATTTTTGTTAATATTATTGTGATCATTTTCTCATGTTATGAATATTTTGCTTCTGATCTAACAAGTTTTAGATCTGTAAATGGTGCTAAAAACTTTTATTTCCATTTCTCCCCAAATATCCATTTTCCATTTATTTCCTACCATCCTACTTATCTAGATTTTAAAAAGTTATCTAAACTCTTAAGATTTGGAGCACCTCTCTTTTAATAAAGATGTTAAGTATCAGGCATCCTTCATGTTTAGCCTTGAATGGAAATGTTCTCTTTCAAATAGTTTTTTAAGTGTGTGTACATCTTATTTTTCTTTAGTAGAAGGTTACACAATGGAAGGGTGTAATTTATATAAAGTTACAAATCAAAATGTTCTATTTCTCTGAAAAGACAATTTATTGTTCATTCTCTCCCTCATGTTTTCAACACTGTCACTGGGATTGTTTAGGTCAGAGTGAGCAGCCTGTGCATCAAAAGGTCTGAAAAAGCACTTCTAAAATGTTTACAATAACTTTATACAAAATGTTAATAAAGCTGTGGAAATTTAGGATTGAATTATCTGCCATCTTGTCATAGAATAGAAGATATTCTTTAATTAAAGCCATAAGCAAGTGAAGTTGATCATAATGTCACCTAATTTTAGAGCCCAAAGGAGCTTTGGAGGTCATTCTGTCTATTGCCCCTAAAATGCATGGGGTTAGACTGCCCCGGAGAAGTCAAGTGATTTGCTCAGGGTCACTCACCTAGCTAATGGTTTTAGATTTGAAGCCTCTAATTCAGCAAACTACTTTATAGTTTTTACAAAAGTCATAGGACACCATCAGTAACAGAAACTAGCTCCCCCCTCCACCCCGCCCCAGGCTTCCAAAGGAATGAAGAAAATAGATGTTTTGACTTTTGACTGAGGTGCTTTTCCAGGTGAAGGTAATGGATGAGTATTTATATGATCAAACCACTACATTATTTGAAAGCGGCACGGAAGAAATAAGACAGGGTTCCTGCCTATCGGTAACTTTTAACTATGACTTTAAGCCCCATTCTAGATGGGAAAAACTGTATTTGGTTTTTTTTTGAATGACGACACACTACTGTATTAAGGGGATTTTGGTGATTTTTCTTCTACATTTTCATCTACATTCATCATATTTTCATAATTAATGTTAGTGAAATTTTATAACAAGATATGTTTAGTATTTTTAAAACCTTGAATAGAATTGACTTTATTTTTCAGAAAGTAGTACTCTATTTGTACAGATATATTTACACAATATAGTAGTTATTCACTACCTGCTTTGCCAGGGATTTTTTTTTTTTTTAAAGATTTTATTTATTTATTTGAGACAGAATGAGAGAGAGAGAGAGAGAGAGCACATGAGTGGGGGGAGGGTCAGAGGGAGAAGCAGACTCCCTGCCGAGCAGGGAGCCCGATGCGGGACTCGATCCAGGGACTCCAGGATCATGACCTGAGCCGAAGGCAGTCGCTTAACCAACTGAGCCACCCAGGCGCCCTTTGCCAGGGATTTTTATAGTTGCTGGGGTACAGTAGAAAACAGAACAAAGACCCAGTCTTCATGGACCTTACATTCAAGTCTGAGATTTCAGTGTATTTGGAAAAAATAAAAATAAAAAACACAAATAAATTAAGGTGACTTCATTTTTAAAAATTCTAATGAAAATGTTTTAGGGCTTTTTTGGATGTAAAACATATTTTCTACTGTTTATGATACTTATTTCAGGAAATATTCAGTTGGCCTGTGTATGGGACCAAGGGAAATACAATATCCATTTAAAAGTCTTTTTCATATATTAATGATTTATTGCACTTTCATGGCTTATTGCTGTAGAAATCTACCTGGAATGCTTATAAATTAGGAAACAACTGTAGCTAGGTAGTTTGCATAAAATACATACAGAATTTATGAGAATTCAAGCTCTGGAGTCACACTCATTTGACTTCCCCACTTTCCACTACATGGTAGTTTATGACCTAGGACAAGTGTTTTAACTTCTGAGTCTGAGTTGACTTATCTGTAAAAAGGGATAATAAAGTGTCTACCTCGTAGGCTTGTTATGAGGGACATAATTCATGCAAAGTTCTTGATACACAGTGCCCAATAAAAGCTAGCTGTTAAGAAAACTTGTTTTAGCACTATTTTTACTATTACTACTACTGCCTTGCTACTATTATTGTGGAGAATCTTAGTAGATATTCTGTATACTATATTGTGTATACTCCACGTGCTTAATTGTTTTAACATGACTTGTATTCAGCAGTGTAATCTTCATGTAACTGGAGAACTGTATAATCAGTGATATAGCTGTTAATTTGCTAAAACTTGTGGAAACATTGAAGTGTAGTCATCACCTGCTTTGCTACAGCTACATTATTTATGTATTTGAGCTGAGCATCCAGTCTTCCTCTTTAGGATTTTTACTGTTCTGTTTCAATAAAGGTAGGATGAAGGAGTAAAAATGTAATCACTTAAATGACTTAAGACCCTAGAGTTACAGCATTTGAAACAAAGCATGCATATTTCTGATATTTTTTATTTTGTTACATGTTAATTAAAAAGAATCCACGTGACTCTTCAACCATCCTTCCAGTGCTGTTTAGCCAGCAAATAGTATTAAGCAGCTACTATGATTTACAGTCTGTGTTAATTACTCCAGTTCATTCAGGAGTGAATTGGCTGCTGCTTCTTAGGGAGCTTATAGTTTAGTTGGATGAGACAAGACATGTACATAATAAAGTAAGTGAGAAGTGCAATGAGAGAGGTATAGATTATGTGCTTTGTGAATTGTGTGGCCAGCCATGTTTCTCCTCCAGTGCTTTAGTTCATTGCACTGTCTGCTGTTAATTAAATTACTCAGAGGTCACTAACTGAGTCTGTTCCTCATAGCCAAGAACTCAGAAAGACGTTGTTAAGAACTGAAGGGTCTGAAAATTGAGCATACTACAATTTTATGAATATTGGTAGAAGATATGAGATTCCTGGGTGTAGAGACAAAGAACTTTATTATTCATGACAGTGCGTGTAACATGAGCTTCATATTTGTATTGACTTCCTTTGCCCCCTCAAAAGGCAACATACAGGGTTTCAGTTCAGGCAGATGCTACTCACATAGTGGGTTTGCATCATAGCTGAGAAGCCCTTGAGTGTAGGGAATCTGAGTCTTTGCTAATGTGCTGCATGGAAACTTAATCTGACTTTTTTTTCCTAGAGGAAGACCTTATCTTTATTATACAGGACAGTAAAAAGCCTGCTCTCTCCTCAGGAGGGAGGCATTGTTTTCCAAGACTGTTCACTCTTCAAATACATCCTTGACAAGATAATCTGGATGAAAGCCCCAGTGCCTCCACACTGAAAACATGCAGAAATGCTAGAGACCTGTAGAGAACTATCTCCCAATTGGCCTCGGAGTAGCTAGCCTAAATGGATGTCTCAGAGTTCATGAATTAATGTTCATGTACATTGCCTGTTTATTCTTAAGCTGCATCTCAGAGGCCTTTTTTATTTCTTAAATGCTCTATGCTATATACTACTGCTTATCCTGAATTAAAATTTGATTCTCTTTAGAGTAAGCAAATATTGAACTCAGATTGAGGTGTTTAGGAGTGGGTGTACTGATGTCTTCAACTTACTTTGCATCAAAAATAAGATGGATGGACAGAGAGATGGATAAATAGGTTGATAGTCTCAAATACAACAAAATGTTAATTGTCAAATCTAGGTGATGGATAGATGATTGTTTACAATGATTTCAATTTCTTTGTATAAAAATTTGCAATAAAATGTTGGGGGAAAAGCCAAGCCAATTGCTCTCTTCTATTCTCTCCCCCAACTCAGTTTTCTTTGCAACTAAACTCACCTTGGCATTTTCAAGAAAACTTCATTGGCAATTCTTATCAAAATGTAGATGGTTGACAACATTTAAAAAATTTGTTTAGTCAGAGTGTCTATTTTGGCCGTTTTAAGCATAATGGGCTTCTTTTTAAAATTGGGGATTTGGAGAATAAGGGTCCCACTTGTAAAAGGAAATCATTGTTCTGCATGCTAGCATTTTAGGTATACAGCCTGAGTATAAAGGGCATTTCATGCAGGAAAAATATTTTTAGGTAAAGGAGGCAGACCAGTTCCACTTGACATATCCTTCTTGGTGAGCTGCCCTAAACTTTTACTACCTTTTTGACATTTTAGGTTGCAGGTCTTTTCAAATTTAATGTCCAGACTTTTTTTTTTTACAAGGCCATATTTGTGTCTGTTACATTTCTGATTTTTAGAATTTGGGGCAGGGCATAGGATTTTGGCTTACTGGCAATAGCAATGGTAGTTGGAATTAGGACACAATACTTAATGACAGGAAATGTTATGGCTGCTTAAAAGTGAGACTAAAGGAGGAAACAACCCATGTAATTATAAAAGGTAGGGTTATTTTGATAAGTTTTTTTTTTTTTCAGTTGATGACTACAAGTAAGTGTAACCTGTATCATATGGAATTTTGTTTTATATGAAATACTATTATATATAAACAGTGAAATTTCATCTCTAACCTAGGAAGTATGTATGAAATGGTAGCTGTGATTGGTGACTAGTATACTATTAGGTAATCTTAAAATGGATATTTTCAGTGATTGTTTCTAAATGTTAAACCAAGCATTTACATTAGACAACTGACAGGATTTTCCTCAACTAGAGGGATGAAGTTTTAGAAGTCCTCAAAAAGTACATTTTTTATGTGAATTGCTTCAGATGTTTACTTTCTCCTCAAAATTGCTTTTCACTTTTTTTTTTCAGGTTTTTTTTTTTTAAGCATACATCAAGAATCAGCTTTTCTAAAAAAATTGTTTTGCATAAATGAAAAATATGTACGGTTTATAGAATTACCAAAAAGTTAAATACCCATGTAATCACTGCCTAGGACAAGAACTAGAACTTGGCTAATCATTCTGAAAACCTTCTTTGTACCCTCCCAGTTACTATCTTTCCTCGCATAGTTGATCCCTATACCGTATGGTAATCTTTCACTTGTTTTTCTTAATGGTTTAACAACCAGGGCTTTGCAAAGGGTAAGTTTTCAGTTAGTCAAGCAGGAGATTACAGATATAATGCAGTGGTTTTTAACTCTATTGTACAGGATACCCCATTTTTATATTTTGTATTCTTTAATGCCCACTTTATCATATCAAAATAAAATTCATGTATAATATTGCCTACCAGCATACAAATTTAAAATTTTAATATACTGTCCTAATTATAACATAAAGGAGAAGAAAAAAGGAAATTTATAATGAAATAAGCATTTCAGTGTAAATATTTGGGCATGGCTGTGACAAGAGGGAATGAAGTAGCCAGATATTTGTAACCTTCCTAATGACAAGTAAGTTTGGATTTAGGAGAACACAAGTTATCTGAATAGGGCTGACTGGTTTTCTTTAACATTTTGAAATAAGAGCAAAATAAGAAAATTTATGCATATGGGTAGAATTGTGTGTGTCACCTACAAATGTCTGCTGATAACAAGTGTGTTGGGTGATTCAAGTATCATGAGTGGCATTGCTGTTGATAATTGTAATGGTAAACTTAACCTTTTCAAGTTTTGGAGGAAAGAAAACAGATTTTTCCTTTTTACACACTAGATATATTTCTGGAAAAGAGATTTTCACCAGTATGAATTTCTGGGAGGGGTATTTGAAAATTCCATAGGATGAGGGCATGATACTTCTTTGTATGGGACTGCCCAGGTATTGCAGAATGTCTAACACCTTGTTCATTCTTCTTCTCTCCCCCCCTCATCCCCCCCCAGTAGCATCACTCACTCAGTCCTAATGTCAGGCAGAAATACCTGTGAGGGGTTACACCCTTGGATTTAGGATTTGGTTGTGGTGCTTTTCAATAAATTATATAACTTTTCCTCTATTTTTGAGGGTCTGTAAAGGTAGATTTCACTGGGTCTTTTTAACCTGGAGGATTCAGAGATCTATGATACGGTAGCCTTTTTTGTTGTTGTTGTTATAATTTATTACTACTTCTTCTTATTAAGCGCTAGCTTAATACTGCAGAAAATTTCAAATCACCTTTTGACAACCCATTCTTCCCTTTCCCACCCAGATTCTTGATAAAGAGCTCTTAAAGTGAAGACACATTCTTTTCTCTCTTCTGTATATAACTTCGTCAAATAGAGGCAAAGAACTATGTACATCTTGCTGTAAAATGCTGCCCATGGCTATGGAAACAGTGTTTGCCCAGGTTCCTTTTATTGTCCAGGTCCTGAAAGACTCTTGTTTATGAATTTTCTCTTCACAAAGCCTGCACCCCCCCCACCTGCCCTAACCTCTCTATCTCACCCTTACCCCCCCCCAAATTCCATGTAAATTTTTTGTGAATATTTGTGTGTTATTTTGCGGTATGGTATATAGCTTTCATCAGATTCTCAAGGGTTCTCTGACCACAAAAGTGGATCAGATGTTTCTCTCCCTGATTTCTTATAACAATTAAATATGGTTATTCTTATTTTTTTATTTTAATCTGGTTATTCTTATGCTAGCGTTCATCATTACGTGCTGAGTTTCCATTTTAACCTGGAAAATGGGCTCAGACTCTGAGCTGTCTGCTGGGAGAGCAACCCTTGGCTGAGATGCTCAGGTAGAGGGACACAGTGGAGCAGAAAATTTCAAATTCAGATGTTAGTCGGGCTTATTTATTTGTTAGGTGTGTAATTTCACATTTTACTGATAAGGTTAATATATTCAGTTAACAACTTTGCTTTAAATTGTTGGGCTTTTTTCTTTAGACCTATTACCTTCATCTTTAGATAGTTTGCATTTTTGTGTCACAACCACAATCTATTATTAAAGATATATAAGCTCTCTCAGGCAATATACATTTTAAGTACTGTTTTAGAATTCATATGTTGATGGAATTTGACACATGGTCGTTTTCTAAATCACTTAAAAGTCTGTTATTTTACCTTATCTTGGAAAATTAGTATTTTCCTCTAAAATTGAGGTGATTTTAAAAATTGAATTTAAAAAATCTTACGTATGTTATAAAAAGGATTGTTCAAAATTAAAGTTTTGTGAAAAGTTTCTTTTGTCATGTTACTAAGAAATTTTTTTTTTTTTTAAAGATTTCATTTATTTGATAGAGCGAGAGGGAACAGTAGAGAGAGAGGGAGAAGCAGGTTCCCTGCCAAGCAGGGAGCCCGATGCGGGGCTCAATCCCAGGACCCTGGGATCATGACCTGAGCCGAAGGCAGACGCTTAACACACTCAGGCGCCCCACTAAGAAATTGTTTTTATCCATGCTTGCTGCTAATGCTAGATAGAGTCCTAGTTGAAATAGTCCTATAAAAATTTACACATTCTCAGATATCTGTAGTAATTTATGAATTTTGAGAATGTTAAGAAATGGAATCTTTTAAGACTCCCAGTTTCATCAGTAGTTTAAAATAGGTTTGTAGCCAATGATATTGTGGGTTCAAGTGCAAAATGGACAGATTGCAATATTCCTCTTTACCTATGGTGGAGTTGTTAATTAGCTGCTTGTTGAAAAATGGAAGCATTTGGTATTGAAGTAGAGGGGGTAAAATAATACACAAATTGAGTGAGTAATATTACCATATAATTAAAGCAATCTCTTCAGAAGATTATACTTTGTATATATACTTAAAAAAACCACATGCATACCTGTTGATTTAAATAGCTATTTTTCATTAATTTTTTTGTAGCTGTTTCACTGTCTTTGTTTTCTACTGATGTTTTCTCATTTCTGTCTTCTCCCTCTTAAGAGTTCCAAATTTTGTTAGAAAATATTTTACAACTTAAATTTTAAGTGTAAGGTAAGATCATTTCATTCCTTAGGACTTGAAATAATGACCTCTTAATGGCCTTAACTTTGAAGTCTGTTTTCCTCTGGTTGCATTAGGCAGATCTGTTTGTTTTCATCTCCTGCACTCTTCCTAATGCCTCTCTTCATTTGGCTGTATTTGTTGTTCCCCTTCAAATCTTTGTCTTAGATGATTTTCCAATATTCAACTAAATGGGAAACTATCTGGTAGAGTTGAATTTTCTCAGTCTGGGCTCTATACTATAAGGTTTGCTTATAGACATGCTTATTTTTATTTATTTAAATAGTCTCTGTAGTGGTTGTCTTTGATTTCACCCTTTTTGCTTTTTAAAAAATACAACTTTTCGACTGATTGCTTTGAAAGCCATCTAAAACTGCTTTTGGGTTAGTTAGGAGTGTGTAGTTAATGCTTCCTCTTGGGACATACTTTTTATCTTTTGTGCCCAAAGTAAAAGGTATTCATTTTATTGTCTAAATTAATTTACATAATGTCTTACAGGCTTCTCTTCAGCCAAGATAAAAAATGGCTATAATCTTTCTTTTATCCTCTTTTTAAAAAAATGAGGTTATACTAGTTTAGGACTAACTTAATTCAGGTAGAAGTAGATTACCTTTCTGGATTCTTTGTTCTGTAATCTCACATTTGGGTGTATCACCAAAGTTTAGAAACTTTGTATCTAGAGCATTTGAGGTAGTGCTCTTAATAAACACTTAACAAATATGTGAGTGAATGAACGAATGAGTGAATGAATCAAACCTAATTGAGGTGTGAAGCAAGAACACTATTGTGTAGTATCTTTAGATGTAGAGATTTTTGCAGTTTGGTTGGTAAAATGGATTTGAAGACTGGCACTGGTTTGCAGACCACTGGAAAAAATCTAATCTTTTCAATAATGTGGTAAGAGTACACTATAAGAATATAATTGTGGGCTTATTTCATAAATCAGAACTTTCAAAATACTTTTTATTTGATAGAAATAATACATGTTCATATAGAAATTTTGTGAAATAGAGTAAGGAATGAAGAAGAAAATAAATTTGTAAGTCTACCACCTGGAAAAAAGTACTGTTAGTTTTTTGATACAGTTAGGTGCACAGACTTCAATATAGACTTTAAATAAAAGGGTATATACATTCAGTTTTGAATTTTGCTTTATATGTGTGAATCCAATTAACATTTTTTTCTGTTTTTGTTTTTTAAACCTTACAGGCCCCTTCACAGATGTAGTCACTACAAATCTTAAGTTGCGAAATCCATCTGATAGGAAAGTGTGTTTCAAAGTGAAGACTACAGCACCTCGTCGGTACTGTGTGAGGCCCAACAGTGGAATTATTGACCCGGGGTTGACTGTGACTGTTTCAGGTAGCAAATCATATTCTGAATTGGAACAGTATTGAATTCTGACCTTTTTATGGTTATGTTGAATTTGGTTTTAATTAACAGGGTTTCATTTGGAGGGAGGGAAAGTTTTTAAGTTATTCTGGCTTGCCTTTAGTCATGTCCTTCTGTTATCTTTTACTATATGCAGCTGTTGCAGAACATTTCTTACCCTTATCTTGTGGTTGAGGGTGTCTGTGGTCAATTTATAAACGATAATTGTCATTTTAAAATTTTTATATCCTTTATTTCTACCGCTCAGTACCACATTCTCTGCCCTTATTTATCTTTGAAATATTACATCATTTTTGTGATTGATCATTCTTTTTAGATCTCTAGCTATTGTTACATATTACGTTACATATTGTATAGCAGCATAAAGCTATACAAGTATTATTCTAAGTCTTGCTTAAAAATGTACAATGCCTCTTTTTTGTTGATTTTATCAAATTAGATGAGTGTTTCTGCCTTTCATTATAAATGCCAAAGTTTAGTTTTTTGGCTCCCTTTTGTGTTTACTTGTAGTCCAAGGAGTATCCTTGGTTCCCTCCATATATGGATTGCTTACTCCTGCTGTGGAGTCTGTGCCTTTGCCATAGTTAATGCCCTCTATAAACTTCCTTTCTTCTGTCAGACTTCCCAAGTCAGTACTCCTTAACAATATTATCTGACATAGCTAAGAAATAGGAAGTAAGTATGAGAACATATCTTAATTGTGGGAGAACTTCTTAGGCTTTGCACAGAGACCATTTACTCTTACTTTCTAGCAGTAGTTCTCACCTCCCACTCACTCTGTGTCCTAATAACAGGTGGGGCAGGAACACGCATGGACCTCTCTCAGCTCAGAATCTCTAGGGGCATGGCCTAGCTATGTATGTGTTTTAAAAAACAAAACATGCTTGGGTGATCCTGATAAGTATTCCTAAGATATTAATTCTGTATTAGTTTCCTGGTTTTTAAATCTACAGCAGATTTAAAGCACCAAATTATGCAAAGAGTGAAAGCCTACAGCAAGCCCATGGAGAGTACTTAGAAGTAGAACTTGACTGCAAAGGTAGCGAAGGACTTATTGTAGAGTTCTGCGACACTGAATCCTCCTTCAGTAGGTATAGCCAAAAACTCAGAGCTAGTAGGCCCTAGAAGAGATGTTTTTGGTAAGACTTGTGATATGGTGGCCTGGGAGGAATGTGTTTGTGTTTGTCCAAGTTCATGGAAAAGATGGATGGGAAAGAAGATAAAGCAATGAGTACACACATGCATTCTGGAAGTTGCTCTCTAAATCTTTAAGCCTTTTAGCTCAGTTGGAAGAAAATAGAATTATTTCTATCCGTGTGGTTAAAAATAGTTTCTTGGTGCATCTAGTTTTATCCTTAGGAATCTGTATAACTATTCAGAATAACTTTTTCTTGGAGGATTCTAAATTGCTGAAGTTTTATTGTATTATTATTTCTTTTTTTTTTTTTTTTTAAAGATTTATTTATTTATTTGAGAGAGCGAGAATGAGAGAGAGAGTACATGAGAGGGGGGAGGGTTAGAGGGAGAAGCAGGCTCCCCGCTGAGCAGGGAGCCCGATGCGGGACTCGATCCAGGGACTCCCAAGATCATGACCTGAGCCGAAGGCAGTCGCCCAACCAACTGAGCCACCCAGGCGCGCCTGTATTATTATTTCTTAAGAAAAGTTTGAATTGCACAGGTTCACTTACATGTGGGTTTTTTCCGATATAAAGACAGTATAGTACTGTAAGTGTAGTTTCTCTTATGATTTTTTCAATTTTCATTTATTTTTTAAAGATTTTATTTATTAGAGACAGAGTGTGCACATGAGCGGGGGTGGGAGAGGGGTAGAGGGAGAGGGAAAAGCAGACTCCCCACTGAGCAGGGAACTCGACCGGGATCATGACCTGAGCTGAAAGCAGACACTTAACTGGATTGAGCCACTCAGGCACCTCTCTCTCTCTCTCTCACTTTTTAAAAGACTTATTTATTGGAGAGATAGTGCCTGAGCAGGGGAAGGAGAGAATCTCAAGCAGACTCCCTGCTGAATGCAGAGCCTGATGCAGGGCTTGATCTCAAGACCCTGAGATCATGACCTGAGCTGAAACCAAGATGCTCAACCAACTGAGCCACCCTCTTACGATTTTTTTTTTTAAGATTTATTTGAGAGGGTGTGCGTGTGAGTGGGGAGAGGGGCAGAGGGAGAGGGAGAGAAGCAGACTCCCTGCTGAGCCTGGAGCCCAACACGGGGCTCGATCTCATGACCCTCAGATCACACTTGAGCCAAAATCAAAAGAGTTGGACAGCCAACGGAGTGAGTCACCCAGATGCCCCTCTTAATGATTTTCTTAATAACATTTTCTTTTCCCTAGCTTACTTTATTGTAAGAATACAGTACATAATACATACAGTATAGGAAATATGTGTTAATCCATGGTTTATGTTATCGGTAAGGCTTCTGGTCAGCAATCGGCTATTAGTACTTAAGTTTTTGGGGAGCCAAAAGTTATAGTGGATTTTCAACTGCATGGGGGCTTGGCATCCCAAGTCCCTATGTCATTCAGGGGTCAACCTGTACTTACCAAAACACTTTGTTTTCCATAAATCTCTTTTGTTGAGCATCTGACATATTAAAAACTTCAGATACACTACTGTTTATATAGCATGCCCTCAGATTCTTCTCCAATTAGAATTTAGCTCTTCAATTTTTAGTGTATTGCCTTTCCTTATAAGGAGCCACTCAAACTGTACTTCCTTCTTCTAGCAACTTTTCCTTGATTGACTCTGTATTACATACTCATTTCTTTTTTCCTTTCTCTCTTTAGCACTTAGTTTTGTGGGTTCCTTCAATTTGACATTTATATATATTTTTAAGATTGTGTAAGTCTTATATGGTCTGCAATAACTTAGAATATAATTGTCATAAAGTCACAATCATGTTTTAAGTTTTTTTTTATTCAATTCCTACTGATGAGCCTACAGTGATTGCTCAGTGAAGGGCATTAATGGACATTTACTGTGCTTTATGTGGATTCTGAGGCATTTATCCTGTGCATTTTTTTTTTTATATTTTAAATACTTATTTATTTATTTATTTTAGACAGAGCTCAAGCAAGCAAGAGGAGGAGCAGAGGAAGAGGGAGGGCGAGATTCTTTTTTATTTTTATTTATTTTATTTTATTTTTTTTAGTATTCTTTTTTTTTATTCTTATGTTAAACCCATACATTACATCATTAGTTTTAGATGAAGTGTTCCATGATTCATTGTTTGTGCATAACACCCAGTGCTCCATGCAGAATGTGCCCTCCTCAATACCCACCACCAGGCTAACCCATCCTCCCACCCCCCTCCCCTCTAGAACCCTCAGTTTGTTTTTCAGAGTCCATCGTCTCTCATGGTTCCTCTACCCCTCCCGATTTCCCCCGCTTCATTCTTCCCCTCCCACTACCTTCTTCTTCTTCTTTTTTTTTTCTTAACATATATTGCATTATTTGTTTCAGAGGTACAGATCTGAGATGCAACAGTCTTGCACAATTCACAGCGCTTATCAGAGCACATACCCTCCCCAGTGTCTTTATCACCCAGTCACCCCATCCCTCCCACCCTACCCCCCACTCCAGCAAACCTGTTTGTTTCCTGCAATTAAGAATTCCTCATATCAGTGAGATCATATGATACATGTCTTTCTCTGTTTGACTTATTTCACTCAACATAATACCCTCCAGTTTCATCCACGTCGTCGCAAATGGCAAGATCTCATTCCTTTTGATGGCTGCATAATATTCCATTGTGTATATATACCACCTCTTCTTTATCCATTCATCTGTCGATGGACATCTTGGCTCTTTCCACAGTTTGGCTATTGTGGACATTGCTGCTATAAACATCGGGGTGCACGTACCCCTTCGGATCCCTACTTTTGTATCTTTGGGGTAAATACCCAGTAGTGCAATTGCTGGATCATATGGTAGCTCTATTTTCAACTTTTTGAGGAACCTCCATACAGTTTTCCAGAGTGGCTGCACCAGCTTGCATTCCCACCAACAGTGTAGGAGGATTCCCCTTTCTCCGCATCCCTGCCAACACCTGTCTTTTCCTGACTTGTTAATTTTAGCCATTCTGACTGGTGTGAGGTAGTATCTCATTGAGGTTTTGATTTGGATTTCCCTGAT